GATGATAGCCTGTTCGGAGGTCAATCTTTGAAAAACAAGTGGCACCCTGAAGCTGATCGAAAAGATCATCAATCCTCGGAAGAGGGTACTTGTTCTTGATGGTAACCTTATTCAACTGGCGGTAGTCTATACACTTTCTTAGGGAACCATCTTTCTTTCTCACAAACAAGACCGGAGCGCCCCAAGGCGAGACACTTGGTCGAATGAAACCCATATCTAGGAGATCTTTCAACTGCTCTTTCAACTCTGTCGGTGCCATTCTATATGGCGGAATAGAGATAGGACGAGTAACTGGAATGAGATCTATGCCGAAATCTATCTCTCTCTCAGGAGGAATTCCGGGTAGATCATCAGGAAACACTTCTGGAAACTCTCTTACTACAGGAACTGCCTGAAAAGGAGGTATCTCAACACTAGAGTCATGAACTCGGACTAAGTGATAGACACAACCCTTCGAAACTAACTTTCTTGCCTTAAGGTACGAAATAAAACGACCCTTAGGCACTGCTGAACTGCTACTCCACTCTATGACTGGCTCATTCGGAAACTGAAACTTGACCACTCGAGTTCTACAGTCTATCGATGCATAACAAGCATGAAGCCAATCCATACCTAGAATGACATCGAAATCTATCATGTCTAACTCAACCAAATTAACCCTGGTGCTCTTGTGACTGATAGAAATAGGACAATCACGATAAACTATTTCCGCTAGAATAGACTCCCCAACAGGTGTAGAAACACAAAAGGGTTCACAAAGTCGTTCAGGAAGAACATCAAACTTATTTGCAACATAAGGAGTTACAAAAAATAAACTTGCTCCTGGATCTAGCAAAGCATACACATCAAAAGCGAAGACCTTGATCATACTAGTGACAACATTTGGAGAATTCTCTTGCTCATGGCGACTGGTGATTGCATAAAGGCGGTTTGCTCCTCCACTGGTACTAGAAGTAGCTCTTCTAGGTGCCGTCCTGTCCGGGGGAACAACTGAAGAAGACTGTGCTTTATTGCCCCCATTACCCTGCCTATTCTTTGGACACTCTCGCATGAAATGTCCATTCTGACCACACTTGAAACAACCAATGGAGCCCTCTCGACAAATACCTGAGTGGTTTCTACCACACTTGGCGCAAGCAGGAGGCTTACTACTCCCTTGCGCCACACTACCCGAAGATTGCGCTGGTCTAGCCTTGAAGTCCTTCGAATTCTGAACATTAAATTCACCTCTGTATCTGGGTGCAGGTGCTCTAGCAAATGATGGAGCAGGTCCCTTTTGCCTTTATTGGAAGGATGGACGATTCCTATTACCTTTCTGCTGCCCGGACTCATTACCGGTCTTGACTCTCTTACTTCTGAACTTTCCCCTGTCCCTCAGCTTCTCTTCCTCAACCCGTTGCACATAAACCATCAACCTTGATATGTCCATGTCCCCGATAAGCATTGCAGCCCTACCTTCCTTACTTGACAACCGAGACAGCCCAGCAACAAACAAGCTTATTTTATTCCTCATGTCCGCAACCATCTCCAGAGCATAGCGGGATAGTTGGGTGAACTTCAGACTGTACTCGTGAACACTCAGAGACTCCTGCTTAAGAGTAAGAAACTCACGTACCTTGGCCTCTCTCAATTCTCGAGGAAAGAAATGCCCCAAGAAAGCTTCCTCGAAATAGGCCCAACTCGCCGGTGGTGCATTCTCAGCTCTACCCCCTTTCCACTGATCAAACCAAGTTCTAGCAACATCCTTCAATTGATACGCAACTAGTTCAACCCGCTCAAAATCTGCCACATGCATCACATCAAAAATCTTCTTCAACTCCTCAATGAAGTTCTCTGGATCCTCAGTAGTACTCGAACCCATGAAACTCGGAGGATTCATCCCTAAGAACTCACGAATCCTTGAAGTGTCAGCTCTTTCATGTCGAGCTCCTCTTTGTTGACCAATTTGATTAGTCACAGCTTGACGCAGAATTCTAATTGCCTCTCTGAACTCGGCATTAGAAACTTCCACTTGATCTTGCACTCCCTGGGGAATAAGGTAACTCTTGCTCATCAATATAACGTCTAGGAAGACGCCCTCTACCAACTTTTCGTGGAGGCATGATTATCTGAAAACACGCGCAAGCACGGATTAGAAAGAAACTTTTTAGAGATCAACTCTAACGCATGAAATGAGTGTGAAAGAAATGAGAAATCTTCCTAAATGTTGCAGCCTCCCAATTATAGATGTGGCGCGCTTCACACCGATAACTAGGACTCTACAGACACGGCTTCATAGACTCCCTAGGACTATTAAACTATGTGCTCTGATACCAAGTTTGTCACGCCCCGAGCCTACACCCTGGGCGGGACCGGCGCCCGGAGACCATTTCTGGCCCCAAGCGAGCCCTTGGCCTGGCTTTCTTAACTCAGCGGAAACCTAACCCAACAGAATAACTCAATGCAATGCAATGCAATATTACAAAACAACTTAACTTATAAAATATGGCCATAAAGGCAACTCGAATCTCAAAATAGAATATTTACATATATACATAGATGAGAGACTCAAAACTAACTGACTGACTGTCTGTCTATGAAGCCTCTAAAATACTGAGATGGATGTTGGGACAGACCCCGCAACATCCTAATAAAACAAAAACTAAGAACACAAAATAATTGAGTCCTCCGGAATGCAAGGAGGCTCACCACTGACTCTGGAGTGCTCAGCGGGATCAACGACGTGCAGGATGCTGATCCAGGGTACCTGTATCTGCATCATAAGACGATGCAGGCCAACTGGCATCAGTACATGGAATGTACGAGTATGCGAGCTGGAAAACTAAGCAACATAGGCTAGAAGGAAATTTGGAAGAAACTGAAAAGTTTACCTTGCTCAACTCAACTCAACCTGACTGACTTCTTTCAATATAAGGCAATTTAAAACAAGTGCGATATAAAGAAAGATTGTTTAAAACATGCTATAAACTCTGTGTGTATACAAGGATACAATAAGCCTAAGATGTATATATAAATACAATTGAACTGATGTATATAAAATACAATAATTTCTGTGTATAAAAATAAAATAACTGCTGTGGGAGTTTCTCTAACCGACAACCATCACATAAGAGCTATAGTGATGATACATCGATCGACCTCACGCTGCTAGAGCATCTTATACCCGGCCAAATGTATAAGACTTGAATTGCCTAATGGATCCACTAGCCTAATCTGAAAAGGATTCATCTAAAAGTATGATCCTTTTCTACCCATGGTGGCTAACATGGTTCTATGGGGGCTGTGGGTTCTTTGAACGCTCCCCCAATTCGGTGCTCGATACTACTCCCAAAAATGTACTGACTCTTATGTTTTTAAAACATATTTATTCCTGCTGATATGAGATAATTACTCAAAAACTAGCCCGAAGGCTCTTTGGAAATCTCAGTTTCCAACCTTGTTTAGATGTAAAGACATTTCTTTAAAACTTCTTTGGGAATACATAGTTCCCTAATAACTTTGAGAAATGAACTCAACTTTAAACTCTTGACTCTTTACTCTTTACTTGACTTGCAACTTGAGCCTTAGAATGAAGTTAAAATGTTCAATAAAGACTCTTGATAAGCTTGGAGGACTTGCTTGAACTAACTTCTTAACTTCTAAGCTTGACTTCTAACTCGACTTGACTTGGAAACTAACTTCACTTGAATTGGAAACTAACTTCACTTGACTTGGATTATGAATTCAAGGGTAATGATTTGTGTTTGGAAAGACCCCATGATGATTAGGAATAATTTAGGACAGCTAAACTTAAGAAGAATTTCGAAATTAAATTCTGTAAAGATATCAGATTTTGTTCACAGAGGGAACACAGCCGCGACGCAGACTTGTTTCCCTGAAAGCAGCCTTCCTTTTCTCCTTCATGATGCCAACTCTAACCCTCTTAACTTCAAAGGTTCTTTTCCCAAACACTTGGGGTCATAAACCCCTCAACCTACAGTGGATTCCACTCAAAACACAACCAAATCCTGTCCCAAATCAGCAAGAACTTCAACAACTCAACCAACAACTTCAACAACCAAAATAAATCTTTTCTTGGAATTAAAAACGAGTTGGTGTGTGGGGGTATGAACCAACCAACACTAAGGATCATAAAATTCCTCTACATACAAGATATTACAACTCAAATACACAACCCAATCATGTCCCACAACCAACAATAACTTCAACAACACAACTAACAACATCAACAACAACTAACAACTTAAACAACAATTCCAATCTTTTCTCAAATCATAAAAAAATGAGCTTGGTGTGTGGGAGGAAAGGATCACCCAACACTAAGAACTCACATAACTTGATAGGGATCACCCCCGACGAAAATCCACGATGATCTTGAAGAATCTTTGCTTGATCTTCCCTTTCTCCTCTTCTTCTCCTCTTCTTCTCTTCTTCACTCTCAAGAACCCTAACTCTTTATTCTTTAAAAAAAATGAGACAAAGTGATCTAAAATCAGTCTAACACTTTAATATAACCAAAACAATTGATTTGTGAAAAGACCAAAATGCCCTTAAATTTCCGGACGGACTCCCTGCCAACTGCCCAACTTTCAAAGGGCATAACTCGCTCATACGAACTCGGAATCGAGTAAACTCGGTGGCGTTGGAAAGATCGTTCCAAGGGCTTTCCAAACATAACTGGAAATACTCCTGGATCATCCTGAGCTAGGAGTTATGACTGCTCAAAGTTGGCCAAAAACTCACCGATTTCCACCCTTAGCCAAATTTCCAGATTTTGAACTTAGCCAAATTTTCCAGATTCTGAACTTTTTCCCAAAGTGACTACTTCCAATTTCAAGCTTCTTCATATTCATTTTAAATTTTCGGATGTTACATAAAAGACCATGTACCAACATTAACATAAAATATGTACATGGAAAGTTTGTGTTAAATTAAAATTAGGATATTATTGTTGAGAAGATGACCTAACAAACAATTTTTCCTACCAATTATCACAACCAAAACTTAATTCTCAATTCCTATTTTCAACATTCACATATTCTATATAAACTTGTTAAAAGTGAAACTTAAAAGTACAATCAATCTTCAACAATGTCTTACAACCACAATCAATCTTTTTTCATGTTATTAGTTATCACTTTGTCAATAACAAGTTGCTATGTAATTCAAGCAGAAGCGCGCTATCTTCTTGAAGTAACTATTCCTGAGCTTCCTAAGCCTGAAATGCCACAACTCCCGGAGATCCCAACTATACCAAAGCCTGAATTTCCTGAAATTCCAAAACCTGAGCTACCAACTCTACCAAAGCCTGAACTTCCAACATTGCCAAAACTCGAGATGCCTGTCATTCCTAAGCCTGAACTACCAACTTTGCTAAAGCCAGAAATTCCTCAAGTGCCTAAAAAGCCTTGAGGAAATATATATGAAATGCTCTTTGATTCATTGAATTGAAGCAGCATTCTTGAAATGTAACACTATTATTGTGTTATATGGTCATGTGATTTTCTTTGTTGTGCTAGAAAAAAATCATTTTGGAAATGTTGTATCTTTCATTAAGCAGAATTTTACAAATTGTTGTTCAATCCACAAAGAAATTAAAACTTACACTCTTTTTTTTACTACACATAGTAGACATTGCAAAACAGACCACACATTATTACAAGAATTAAGACAACAATTTAATTCCAAACATGTGGTATATATACATTGTTCGTACTCTTTAAAAATGTTGTTGCACCCACATATATATATATATATATATATATATATATATATAAGACAACAGACATCCGTCAATATTTTCAAAGAGTCGAAACAACACAAGTATACATACGTAGAAATATTTATTTATCAGTTGAGATGGTGAGTCTCAATATCTTTGGACATATTGAGAACAAGTTCCATATATGTGTGCGGGTCTGGCACATTTGCATTCTTCTTTTCATATTCCAAGATCCAAATAACTAAGTTGTTTTCATCCTTTGTCTCAAAATGATGTTATACATGGAAAGTTTGTGATAAAATAAATTAGGATATTATTGTTGAGAAATGACCTAACAAACAATTTTTCCTACCAATCACAACCAAAACATCCACATACCTATATAAAAAATAAACTTGTTCAAGGTGAAACCTAAAGTACAATAAATCTTCAACAATGGCTTACAACCACAACCAATCATTTTTCTTGTTATTACTTATCACTTTGTCAATAAAACAAGTAGCTATGTAATTCAAGCATAAGCGCACCATCTTTTTGAAGTAACTATATCAAATGCTCTTTGATTCATTGAAGCAGCATTTACACTTTATTATTGTGTCAAATGGTCATGTGTTTATCTTTGTTGTGCTAGAAAAATTTCATTTTGGAAAGATTATTTATGTCATGATATTTTATGATCAATAACAAGAATTGTTAATGTAATTGTTCTGTCATCAGTTCACTATACACACCTTATGTTACAATCCAAAATCCAAATAGCATTTATTTTTCAATATCAATAGACTCAGACTGAGTCATCATTAAGCAGAATTTTACAAACTGTTATTCAATCCACAAAGAAATTAAAAATTACACACTTTATTTTTACTACATATAGTAGACATTACAAAGAACACCACACTAATTTATAAGACTTAATACAACAATTTTTTTCCAAACATATGGTACATATACATTGCTTGTACTCTTTAAAAATGTTGGTGCATCGACAACACACATCCATCAGTATTTTCAAAGAGCTGTCCAAGCAACGTAAGTATACATATGTAGCAATATTTATTTATCAGTTGAGATGGTGAGTCTCAATATCTTTGGCTTACAAATTTTAATTTGCAACTTCTTTTTTGCCTATATACAAAAGCAAAAAAATTGAAAGACTAAAATAGCCATCAAAAGTTGAACAACTATTTTGTCCATCCAAAAATCAAATTAACTACCACACAAATAATAACATATACTCGGTCCACATATAGCGACTATGAAGGATAATTACTCAAAGTTGAGTGACTTTAGATAGATGTCGCTGACATTGTCATATCAAATAATTGAGAATGGTAAAAAAAAGAAAGATTTCTTTTATAGTAGATGTTGTCTCTAGAGAGAAGATATATTAAGGACTGATAGTTGTACATCCAAATGATATGAAATCAAATAAAATTTGCCACTGAATATATGCTTCACACATTCATCTGCAATTTCATGATCTATGTGACACTTGTGATTGTTATATTTGCTACTTCATGGTTGTTGAATGATGACTATTGGATTATGATCATGAGAGTGTATTATGACCGGTTAGGTTGAGCTGATTTTAATGCAAGTTGTAGTTTGAGGAGGTTTGGTTGGGATGAAAATTGTGTTCGTTTTCTAGCTAGTAATTTTGCTTTGTTTATCAGGTTTCTTGTTGGGTACCATATTGTCTGGTGCTCGATCCTTGCTTCTACACTTATGTAGGTTCCAAGCCCGGTTTTGTGTGATTGCTCGATCTTCTCCTTCTATACCTGAGGCTTGTCGAAAGACTTTGAGAGGTAGCTGTTTGTCATCCCGGTGGACCCTCTTTTTCCTTTATGTTATGCTTTGTTCTACTTGAGAAACAATGACATTAAGACTTGTACTTATTTTTTCACTTCTGCACTATATGTATTAGTGGCTTGTACACGTGACAACCAAGTTTTGAGGATTATATTAGAATGACTAAGTTTTCTGCCTTTTGTTATTCTTGCTTTACTTTCCGCATTTTTTTTTTCATTTTGTTGGATTGAGACTGACTTGTCTTGGTGGGAATAGACAAGTGCCATCATGTCCGTTTTTTGAGTCGTGACAGAAATGGACTTGCAAGCAATCCACTTTTATTTTTTTCAGAGGTTTTAACCAATGGAGTATTATCGATTTCAATACAAACTTGCATACATATATGGAATTAAATAGAATTAGCTTCGAAACTTTTATTTTTGTTTATCAATATTGATCGACTAAGGCTTTTATTCCAAGTACATATTATAACAATAATAATAATAATAATAATAATAATAATAATAATAGTAATAATAATAATAATAATAATAATAATAATATTTATGTATCACTTGAGATGGTGAGTCTCAATATCTTTAGTGACATTGATGCATAATTCCATTAAAGTGTGTGGATCAGGCACATTTGCATTCTTCTTTTCATATTCCATGATCCAAGTAACTAAGTTGTTTTCACCCTTTGTCTCAACATGCATAGTGATATAAAATGATTTATAATACTCCAACAAATCACCTTCAATTACCTTTTTTTTAATCAACTTCTTTTCATCATCTATTTCTTCAATTACTTCCTTAGCCATGATCTCTTTCCCATCTGCAAACAAATATAGTAAATATTTCATACTACTAATTTTGCTTTTTAAATGATCGATTGAATTCAATTGAATCTGAATGGGTTAAAAATGGTTTGCATCAATAAAAATATTGGATCAAAATAATGAACGGATCAGTTTGAGCTAGATGTCAACTAATAAATATTGAAACCAAATATAATACAAGTTTACCATGGATGAGTTTCCAGGACTTAACAGAACCTATAGTACCCAATTCACCTTCATGAATATCCACATTTTGTATCTTATCAGAGCATATGCGGGAGATATGATGTGGTTCATACCTAATCATTTCATGGAACACATCTCCATCACACTTGATGTTTATCTCAGAAACCAATTTTCTAACTTCAAGACTCATTTCTCTTCTATGATATATCACAAAGTAATAATTAATAATAAGTGTGTGGTTCATCATTATATGAGTATCTCTACCCTCTTATAGTTAAGCAATGTCAATATGTCTAGACTCTAGACTATAAATTTCATATTTCTTTGGCCTATACATTATTAGGTGTGTGCATGTAATTACACACAATTATCACAGAAAGAGACTCTTGGTTATATCTAGTACCCAATAAGCTACTTTTATATAAAGAAGGTATTAGGTTAAGTTTCTAAGTGGTTCAAACTAGTTCATAATCATATTTTTTAAGATTATCATATAGTTGGGAAACACTAAAAGTGTTTATCACTCATCTAGTGATTATAATCCAAAATCAACCATAGGTTGATCATTTTAATTTATGGTTTTATAGCTTATAAGCACTTTTAATTTGACCAATCACTTTACAATTTCACCTTTTCTATGGTTTTGTACTCCCTAAAATGTTCTTCCAAGAACATAACTTTGAATTAACCCTTTATTTATTTCCGTCATTTGTCTTTTTTATGTAAAAATACTTTTAATTTTTTTTTTTTTTTTTTGTAAATAGACTTAACGATAAATTTTAGCACCCTACGTGTAACCACTTATTTATAAAAGAAATGATGCCTACCCCCGGCCCCCACAACTAAATACTATATCTCTTTTGCAAATTTTATGTTGAGATTAATTATAGACATGTTTTGTATAAGAATTAGATAGGGGACCTTGTCTATGTCAATGCTGTTTTATTTAAAAGTATAGATATAAGAAAAAATGACTTAGTTTTCGAAAACCGATTAAACTTATGGTTTAAGCAAAATCGAATTTCCAAAAGAACAGAGTCGCCACTTAATTTTTTTAGTAAAAATCAAGAAAAAACTTAAGGTTTTCAAAAGATTTAAACAGATAAAATCAATTGAAAATGGGTTCGGAGTTCAATGTACATTCCGAGAAGGTGTTAGGCCCTCGGAATGCCCGCTAACTCGCAGTTGACCGACGATTTGACTAAAAATAACTTTGACTAATTTTTGAGAAACTATTAACTAAGTAAAAGAAATCATTTATTTCAACTAATTATTTTTAGAATTTAACGAAGTAAAGAATTCACGACTTTGACTAATTTTGAAAAGTTTAACAAAGTAAAAGAACTAATTTACTTCAATTATTATTATTTTTTTTTTTGAAATTTGAATTAAGTAAAAAGAGCTCATTTATTCTAACTTATTTTTTATTATTATTTTTTCTTTTTTACTATTGTTATTTTTATCATCTCTTATTTATTTTTAGGGGAATGAACTAAAGGGGAATGGATCATAAAATGTCAACAAGAAAATATTTTAAAAAAAACTAAGCAATAAAATATATATACTTTAATGCGAAAATAAAATGAAATGACCATTCTTGGGGAATTTAATTAAGTTAAACCATAAAATAATCAAAACGTTAGTCAAATATTACTACTTATTAGAAGTGAGAGTTGAGTGTACCAACATTGCACTATTATATTGTACAAAAAGGATCATGAATTGTACTATATGTGTTCGGCCTGCTTTTTTTCCTCTTTTACGGCTTTAATTGTGTGGGCCCTATTATTACTTTTGTACACCATTTCATTTTTCCTTGCATTGTTCTTATATTTTCTTATTTCCAATTTCTATCCTCCAGGGATCTTTGAATATTATTAATTAATTAATTCATTCATTAA